AGAAGCTGGGAGATAATGTTTGGTTTTTGTGCTAAGTTTGGGATAAATTATTATATAGTCATAGACAGCTAATACAGACATCAAGGCCTAGAGATCTTGATGAAACCAGAGAAAAGGTGTGGGTCTTGAAGGATAATAGTTATGGTCAGGGAAGAAAATCTGTTTGAATTAAAAATTTCAGAGGTGAAATGGCTCTCCTAGTGATAACAAAGTCAAGAGTATGGCCATGGTTGTAGTTGGCTGAAATGCAGCTGGAGTAAAGGTCATTGGAGATGAGGACATAATGTGTCCACAAGAACACTGAAGATACCAAGGATCATCAAACACATTAGATAAGAGCCCTTATAGAATCCTAGAATATCAGTGCTAAGCATGACATACAATGGTAAGTCATCTAGTCTGTCTAATTGGACTTTATTAGTTTCTCAAAGTGTGATCCAAGGAATATCCACATTAGAAACAGAGAAATTGAGAAACTCTTGCAAAATTCCCTTATTTCAGAATAAATGAATATTAATTTTTAAGGGTGGTATCCAGGAATCTTCATTTTATCAAGTTGTCCAAGTGATTCTTAGACACAGGCTTTTAGCACCTCTAGTCTAGTTCAACTGCCTATTTTTATGACTCCTTTTTTAGAGAACAAGATCTTATCTTGATTCTAATACTTTCCATGACACAGAGCTGCCTTTGGTGCCCAAAGCAATCAGTAGCAATTGGTAAATCTACAATAATAAATCAAATAATATTTAAATAATATTTAAATTAAATATTTCTTCTATATGAAAATGAATATATGAATGTATATGTATCATTGAAATATGATGCTGTACACCAGAATTTGACACATTGTAACTGACTATACCTGGATAAAAAATAAAATATTTCTTCTAAAAAGAAAATTGAATATTTTTTACATATGATTTGGCTCCTGCCTGACTCTTCTACCACTTTCTACCTAACTCACAATGCTCCAGGAAGTTTGTTCCTACCTCAGGACTTTTGCATTTGTCATTCCTTCTGCTTGGACACTCACATTCATGTGAGCGGACTCTCTTGTTACTCAAGTCTCAGCTTAAGTGTCTGCTCCCTGAAGAAGTACTTCCTGTCCTCCTGGTCTAAAATAACTCTCACCCTAACACACTCACTCTCTATAGTATTTATCACTATTCTAAGTAACCTTATTTCTTTCTTTGTTTTCTTGGTCAAAAATTTCCACTTAAGCTCCTCCAGACCAGGATTGGGTCTGTTTTGTTCATTGCTTCATACCCAGCACATAGAACAGTGACAGGCTATGGTGCCCCTTGGGGAGGAGTAGGAGTAGTCAGATCTGAGGGCAAGCAATAAGGGGCTGGATTATCCATAGAGAATTTAAAACCAATAATAAAAATGTAACCAACAGGACCCTGTGGGGCCTTCCAAAGTCAGACCCCTCCCCCATATCCTCTACTGTAGTTCCTCTCAGAAGTACCCAGATAATAGTATCTCAAGTACATTTCCTTAGTTTTTCAGATGCTAAAAAACCATCACCAAAGGGAAGAAATTTAACTACTTGATGATTGAGAGCACACGGCCCCCAGACCTTCTGGCGCCTAAGGGTTGGTAGTGTTGATAGCACTGTTCCCTGAACATCTGCTAATCAGAGACTCCTGCATGAGTTGATCATGTGCCTTATGACTACCCCTCCCTTACCTGACCTTTAAATATGCTTTGCTGAAACCCTTCGGGGAGTTCAAGATTTTCTTGCACATAAGCGGCCCTGTCCTCCTAGCTCGGCCCTGGAATAAACCTTTCTCTGCTCCAAACTTGAATGTTTCCGTTTGTTTGGCCTCATGGTGCATTGGGCACATGAACTTGCCTTCGGTAACAAAAGCAAAATAAAATCATTCTTCTTTTTACTATCACCGTGCACTGGCAATTCTCAGCAATGTCAGTGATAAAACTACCTGAGAAAGTCCTTTTTTTTTTTTGGCCTAAGTTCAAAACAATATATGTAACCTTGAAATCAGTACATTTTGATAATTTATCTTTTAATAAACATTGCATTCTTCGTGAAAGTGAATTTGGAGAATTAATTCTCATTTATACAATTGGTCTCAAAAAAATCTGTTGGCTAAACTACACTCATTCCTTTAGAGCGTAAGTTCACAATGTTTCCAAATTGTTGGAGCTCAGCTTTTGATGCAATTTCCTGTCTCCAACCCCTGTGATACTACATAGCCCTGCATTTAAACAGTATATTAGAAATGAATGACAATAAAACAGTGATTGTAAAAAACAGAGAAATAGAGCCTAAGTTACTTCAGTTCTGCCATCTTACATGACCACTTGGTGTTTTTATTTGGGTTTAAAATTTAAAACACTGAAACAGAGTACAAACTTTGGGATTTTTTGTTTGGAAAATGTAACTTTTAATTCATACATGTAATATTTTAATATATTTGAATTTGTCTGTTTTGAAACTTTAGATGACACTATTAATCAGACAGAAAAATATGTGCAAACATCCTGAATTAGCCTGGAGCAATGTGAAAAACTAAACTTTAAATTGTTCCTTGAAGATTGGGTCAAAGAAATCGTAGAGAAAGTCATTTACTACTGAACAAAAAACACAATGTAAGGAAATGGACATTTACATAGAAAAAATACAAGCAATTAAAAAAAAAGCAGGAGAAGTGACAAAAGATGCTAGTCTGACACTGTCAGAGAAACTAGAAGGGCAGTAACTGAATGCCTTTTTGCACCAAGCACGGGACACTTGTTCTAAAGCAATGGATTAAATGATGTCAAAGTTCCCTCTCATTCAGACATTTTCACTGATTTTTACAGAGGAAGGACTTCTGAAGTTTTTACCAACTATTATAGAAATGTATGATTAATCTTGTGAAGATATTTTAGGTGATATTTTCACCTGAGGAAAATTTGAATGCCTCTGAATTTGATCCTGAAGAAACAAAGAGTTAGATGATATTGTAATTCATGGAACTTTTGTGAAATAGGATTTTTATGTTTTCCCTTCTAAACTTATTCACAATTTTAAGACTTGTCCTATATCTGTTGCTTACTATGAAATAAACTTTACTAATATTAAAATCAATTTAAAAAGTGTTCATCTATCAACAATGAACAAAGACAAATTGACCAATCTACCTATATCATCTATTGAATATGTAGAAACATGAGTCTGATGAAGTCATTGACAAATATACAGATGCTAAAGCTCAAAAGCAGAAACTATAATATTACTCATTACTGCAGTAGACCAATATGTAGGTATAAATAAGTTCTTTCTACTTTAAAAATACGTTAACACAATTAGAAAATGTTGATCCATTACTTTTGTCCTTTTTTGTACTGTACTATTTACTTTATTTTCTATTTTATTTTTATACTGGCATGATAGATAGTTAGATAAAAAGAAAGCTGTGACACTCACTAAAAGAAAAATTTCACTCTATTTCTTTTATGGCCTTCATTATTAGTTTAATTTCATCATTATTTCTTAAAATAATTTTGTCATATAGAGGAGGAGGCTGTAGAAAATATCTGCTTTGGGTGTCAAATATGCCAGGTAGGTCACTGGTGCCTGGCATATAATTTGTACTTAAATATTTGTTGAATGAATAAATGAATTAATATCCAGTATGTTGATGGATAGATTATGAGCATCTTTCCTTAGAATCATTCACTGGAGGCCTAGAGGAGATCTTGTTCCTACTGAGAACACTGCACCTGCCCACATATTCTCCTTACAGCGCCAAAATGATCCTTTTTGGTGGGGGAGGTAATTAGGTTTGTTTGTTTATTTATTTATTTATTTACTTACTTACTTATTTATTTTTTAAATGGAGGTTCTGGGGCTTGAACCCAGGACCTTGTGCATGCTAAGCATGAGCTATACCACCCCCCTCTTAAAAATGATCCTTTTAAACTCAAACTTAGATTGTGCCACATCTTTGGACAAAACCCTCCACTAACTTCCCCTCTTTTTCAGAGTCAAATCCAAAGTTCATATGGTGGCACAAAAAAAAAAGGCCCCTACACAGTGTGTTATTTCACTCCCTCTCAACTTATCACTTCAGACACATTGGCCTTTTTCATTGCTGTTCCTTCTGCGTGGAACGTTCTTGTCTAAATTCCTTCAGGACTTTTCTCAAATGTCACCTTATCAGAAAATCTTTCCCTAACCTAGCTAAACCAGTAAATTTCTACTCCATCCCCATACTGTTTTCTTCTCCTTCATAGCATTTGGCACTTTGTAACACTTGTTTCTTTTTTCCTTCTGGAACCATAAGCTCTATGAGGGAAAGCATTATGTTATGATCTGTACTTTGAACGAGTGCCTGGCATGTAGTAGGCTCTTAGAGACACAGTCTTAGACTGTAGGGACTTGGCCACGTATTGCAGAAGTAACATGTTCTTTGTGACTGTATAGTTATTAAAGCAGCAGGACTTGGATTTTAAATCTTCATCTAGACAAATCACATATGCCTGAAACAACGAAAACACTGAAAAGTTCTGTACCCAGCAAAAGAACTTTCAAATGGACTATGGAGACTATTCTGAACGGCTTTATCAGAGATAGTGACAGTCAACCAAGAGGATGAACCCGTTTCTCCGGAGGAGAGCGGGTTAACTATAGCCGCTTCCCAGAGCCGCATCAGGAAGGAGGAGAAGGGGCGGGAGCGGGCAGGCGAGGGGCGGAACTGGGCGGGGCTGTTGTGAGTAGAGCCCAGTTGAACCGTTTTGTCCCTTTCCGCTCTCCGTGTGAAAACCTGGGCGCGGAGGGTCAGAGATATGGCGGCCGCTAGGGTAAGTAAAAAAAAAAAAAAAATACCTTGCTGAGTTTCTCTGGGTGTCGATAGCTAGCACTCTAGTAACCATAGAAGGGATCCTCCTAACTTCAGAAGGGACCCCACTGCAAGAGACGAGGGGAAGGTGGAGTTGTGAGAGGATTGGCAAGTACAGGGAATCTATAAAGTTTGAAGCCTCAAGACACCTACCTCTCCCCTTAAGAGTTTCCTCAGCCTGGAACAGTACTCTTTCCTCAGTCCCCTGCAGTTGACTGTTTATACAGAGGCAGGGTGGAAACTGGGAAACGGCTGGGTGAAAGTGGCCAGCCGCGCAATGAGCAGCGGCTGACTTGGGTCTTGAGCTGAAACAAAGAGAAAAGAATCCTGGGCATTTGTCTGGGTGCACAGGCCGGGGCCTCAATGACCCTTTGAAGGACTTTGTTCAAACATTATTTCAGGTGAAATAGACCAGGATAGAGACGTCTCAAGTCTTTGTGCAGTGCGCGGGTTTGTAGTCACTGTTACTCTCCGGGTTTGACTAACAAACCTAAGTTTCTTTTGAGTTCTGTAATGGGAAAAGGTGCCTTTACTTAGTCTGTGTACAGGAAGTGACTCAGCTGGTTGCTAGTTGCAGTTCCCTAAGTAGGTTTCAACAACAGCAGTCGTCCAATATGTATAAGTAGACAAATATCTCTGGGTACATATTTGTAGCAGGTTTTAAGTGTACAGTGCACCGCTTCCAGGAGATACAAATATGAATAGTTCAGGCTCAGTATCCGACTTGATTCGCCATTCTCACAACATTTCTGCCTTAATAATTTATCTGAATTACTGCAACATCCTTCTAACTGGACTTGCTGCCTCTAGCCTGACTATCATGTAATTCATTTTCCCCTCCACTGCTAGAGTACTAAAATGCAAATCTGATTATGCCTGTCCACTACTTAAAAACCTTTATTGGCACTCCATCATTTAACCTCTGCGGTCAGGTCAGACTCCTATGTCTAGAACACCCTGTCTTGGCTTTGCAGCTTCATCGCCTGTCTTTCAGGAGCTTTCCTAGCATCTGTACTCCAAGCCTTGTCCCCTGCTTTTTCTCTGGGCCTGAAGTGCCCTTTCTCATCTTCATCTAGTTAGTTCCTATTCATATTTCACTCACTCAGTTAAGAGATTTGTGTACTGCCTCCCCATATGCTAAGCACAAAAATGCCTTTTCCAAGATACTGTCCTCGACCTTCCCAGTCTAATTTAAACAGGACCTGGGGCATATTTTTACCATAGGACTTATCACACTGCAAATAATAGTCTATTTACTTGTCTGTTTTACCCTCCTAAACTGTAAGCTACTTGAGGACAGTAATTATATTGATTTTTGTATCTTTAGTACCTAGCACAGGTATGACTTATATTAGGTACTAAATAAACTCTATGTGAAAATAGCGCCAGGCAACGGAGATAAAAGAGATTCATTTAAACAGTGTAGCTGCATCAGATAACAAACAACTGTGATTCAGGGAAGTGCCTTGCCTCGGGACAAGTACAAAGTGATCTGAGGGTTCCGAGAGCGCACACCTGGTTGAAGAGAATAAAGAATGATATCATGGTGGAAGTACAGAGATAGAAGGAATGGTCAAAAAGCAAACCTGAATAGTGTGTTGTTACTGAAACCTAGAGAAGGAGAGAATGAGTTGAACAGTCTTTTGATTTGGCCATTAATAAGTCACTAGTAGCTGCTATTTATTGAGTGCTTACTACAAGGCCAAGTGCCGTGCTAAAGTATTTTGCATATGGTATTTCACTTAATTCTCAAGACAACTTTATGTTGTAGATATTATGATCACCATTTTACAAATGAAAAACTAAGGTTTGGAAAAGTCAGGTAAATTGCCCAGTCAAAATGCTAATAAGAGCTGAAGTGAGGTAAAGTGGTAGAGAGAGAACCTAGATTGTAAGGGTTTAAGGAAAGGATCAGGGGTGGGAAACAGGCATTCGTTTAGCACCCACTTTGGCCAGCTGCTTTACATGTATTATTTCAGTTTCATCTTCTTCTCCTAAAAAATGAGTAGTATCCCCATTTTACTTATGAAGAAACCAAGGCTTAGAAAAAGTGCTTGCTCCAGGTTATACAGCTATTAAGTGGAAGAACCAGGTTCAAACACAAGTATATTTGGCTCCAAAGCCCAGGATCTTCCCACTACTCCTTGTCTCTGAAAGGCAAAAGTACATTACTCTTTAGAGAAATGTTGTGGTGAAAGGTAGAAAAGAAGTCTTGAGATAAGGGTGGCAAATTCCAGAAAAGGTATCTTTTTGTTTAAAAAAGTAGGAGACTGTATGCCAATTAAATCTCAGTAAAACTTGGGGGGAAAGTGTCAGGAGACCTGAGCAGGTTTGGATACAAGGGGAGATGCACCAAGAATAGAAGAAAGAATTAATAACAGTGATCACAGCTATTATGTTATTGAATGTTTACTGTGCTAGGCATTTTGCTAAGCACATTATGTGAATTTTCTCATTCGTGCTTCACAGTGACCCTATGAGTAGCTACTGTTATTCCTAGCATTTTACAGGTAAAGAAACAGAAGCTTGGGGAGGTTGAGTAACTTTCACAGTCACACAGTTGTAAGCAGTAGAACTGGGTCTGAAATCCCATGATCTAAGTCCAGATCATGGAGTTTAAGCTTGAGGAAGCATCTGTGAGGCTAAGGTACAAAAAGGGTGATCTGAGTTAATTTTGAAACCCCAGAGTTTACTTGCAAGGATTAAGATAGAAAGGAGTCCTGAAGGTTGGTAGATAATTCTGAAAATAGTTTGCATACATTTTGAAACATAAGAGCTTTTTGAACAGGTATATATAATGGTGAAATGTTGTGGAATTAGCCTTGAGACGAAGGACTGTGCTGCTCTCTCCTCCTGACTTCTTGAATCAGAGAGAACAGCTGAAGGACTGGCCTTCTTTTAAAAAGATTGAGAGGTATCTAGTAGTGTCAAAAGCTAAATTTTGTTAATGGCAGAGATTGAGTGAATTTCAGGAAAATTTGGGTCTGAAAGATATTTGTTTAAAATAGAATACTTAATATTGAAATATAGATACCATGTATTTAGTATTTCCTGTGTGTCAGACGCTGTGCTATGCTGTTGATGTACATTATTTCGTTTAATTCTCACAAAAAAGTTTTCTATGGTAATGTTATTAGCTCAAAGAACAGGAGTAGAGCAGTAAGGAAATTAAAGCTGAAATAGGAGGTTGTAGTCAAAGTAAAGCTTTTTGAGTCTATGATTTTAGCTATTAACAAGTCTGGGAAATGGTCAATTCAAGGTGTACTCATGGAGTGGGTAACTGCAGTGGAGTGAATATGAAGGTCTAATAACATGAGGTCAAATAACAGTGAGGTGAGACTTTTGAGTGATTCATCCACGCAGACATTAAAGCCACTCGGCATTATGGCAGGATTTAGAGCATAGAAAATGACTATTAACCAGGATCCTAAATCTATGATGTGATGAAGTGACTTGGAGACCAGTAGATGACAGTGCTAAGGATGACTAGATGGATGGTATGGGCCTTAAAGGAGAATTACTTTTCTTTCCTTGCAGTAAACTTTTTTTTAATAGAAGTATAGGATATATACAACGAAGTACACAAATCATAATCAGCTTGGTAAATTTTCAAAAAATGACCATACTTGTTCAACCAGCACCTGAATAAAAAAAAATAATATTACCAGCATCCCAGAAGCCCTCCCCTTTGTTCCTCCACACAGTTATTCTCCACCATAAATTAATTTTGCTTATCTTTGAACTTTTTGTAAATGGAATTATGCCGTATTTACTCTGTTATGTCTGGCTTCTATCATGCAATACTGTTTTTGAGATTCAGCCATTATATATGTACTGTACTTCATTCATTCTTATTGCTGTATGTTACGCTAGAGGGTGAAAATATCGTGATTTACTTATCCACTCTACTGTTGATGGACATTTGAATTATTTTCAGTTTTGAGCTATTATAGCTAATGCTCCTATGAACATTCTTGTATATATATTTTGGTGCACATAAGTGCACATTGCTGTTGAGTATATACCTAGGAGTGGGATCGCCAGGTCATAGGGACTGCAGCTTTGGAAGCTACTGCCAAATAGTTTTCCAAAGTGGTTGTACCAATTTACATTCCCATTCATGAGGGTTCCAGTTGTTCTACTTCCTCACTAACAAGAACAGAGATTTTTACCTAAGGGTGGAGAATTAATGGCTTAGCAGCATTGGGACTCAGGAAGAAGACAAACTCTCCCTCTTATCCCTGAGACACTTTGAATAGCCTCCACTTGAGAGTGACGGGGAAGTAGTGACCTCAGGGGGCAGTCATGTTTCATTTCAGACAAGAAATGAGGAGGGTAGATGCAATTGAAGGGTTTTGGGAGTTTGGGGAGTTAGCAGGAATTTGGTCAGTGGAGAGAAAATACAGAGCACTGTAGAAAATAGAATACAGGAGATGATACATGACTCTGGGATTGTGTTATGGGGCTTGGACCAAGGATGGTGGGGATGGGAAGGAACATGGACATCATAGATGTAAAATTTTCAAAATCCTTGATTATACCAGCCATATATTCCTTTGTCTCAACTTTAGTCCTTGTCTCTTTCTCTTCTTTCTTTCATGTGACTGATACCAGAAAATAGTTGGAACCTAACAAAGTGAAGTTCATTCCTAGGAAGACTGGTAGTTATCTCCAGCAAAATCAGTTTTTCTGCTTCCACTCAGCATTGTTGAACATCTTTATTTTCAGTGTAACTTTGAAAGTTGTACCTTGAAACCCTTAACCATACTTGGTATAGGTTCCAGGATGTTGCTTTATGCTATAAAGTGAAAATGATCTGTGCATTGCCTCCTCCCACACTCATATGACTGAACAGACAGCTGTTAGGTGTTCTGTGAACCTCATTAATATGAAAATAAAAGACTATTTGACATAAGTCCTAAAATTTTCACACAGTGGGCTAATGTAAGTCAATATTTCCTGATCTTAGCTGTGCCTTAGAATCATCTGGGGAGCTGAAAAAAAGTACTGATGCCTGAGCCCTACCCCAGATGGGGCATTTTCATGTTTAAATGCCCACCATTGATTTCAATGTGTTGCTAGGTTCAAGAGCCACTGATTTAGGGGGGAATATGTGGCTTTTATACAGGTTATAGAGAAAAGAGTAGCAGACTTTTTCAGGTTATGAAGAACAGAGGCAAGTTTCAGTTATCTTAAGGATACGTAGATTAGGAGGAAAGTCTAGGAAACTGTCTCACCAGCTAAACAAATCTCCAGAAGAACCATTCAGAATACCAATACCAACTCTGGTAGTTATTGTTCTCATGATTGTTCTGCTTCTGCTAACTCTATGTGTGTTATATCCAGACTTTTCCTAGAGGGAGGATCTGATTGGGTTGGCTAGTCACTAACCACTGCAAAGTACCC